CCGACCCAACGATACAAACATCCCTTATTTGCAAAGCAGACTATACCCATCGTCAAACCTGATCCCAAGTACAGGATGAACATCCGTAGTAAACATCGAAGTTATAAAGGAAAACCACCCTTGCGCAGTGCTATCGTATAAACCAAAGGGATGAAACTCAAAGGAAGAGAGAAACAGTGATTGATTTATGAGGGTGTTTTCGTCGCTTCTTACCCCAGCAAGGTCTCCTAGCTCTCTCTCTCTCTCTCTCTCTCTCTCTCTCTCTCTCTCTCTCTCTCTCTCTCTCAGCCATTTTCACGCGTTCCAAAAACTCCGCATCTCCCTCCCTCTATCCTCATTTACAATAACTACCCTGTCGTGGCCCTAATTAAATTTTTTTTCCAACCCTCGAATAATTCGTCAATACCTCGTCGCGTCTTGACGATTCTGATGCAATCTCCCGAGAACACCCTAGCCAATACTTCTCTAAGCAAAAAGGTCTTCGACCTTCTCGCACAGGGGCTGGCCCCAGTAAGGGTAGCTAGGCCAACTAGCCACCCAGTCGGCTCCTGCAGGCTGGAAAGCAGTCGAGACGCAGAAACCCCGTAGTGTTTACGAAGCGAGCCAACTCCGTGTAGGAAGGCCGGGGGTGTCTATAGTCACGTCAGCTACATAGTCGGCTACCCTACGCCACCCCCGACAATCGACGTTCGCCGTTTGCGTTTATCGAACGATTGCGCGCGCACGAAATCGTAAGGGGCGTACGTCTTGGGGCACGGAGAGGCCGGAGCGGCGCACTGGCAGCGAGGTGCGACAGGAGTTTGCAGCTCTACCCAGTGTATCCGAGAGTCTAACGGGTACATCGGAGCCCTGCTAGATCGAAAGTCTCAAGGTAGAGAAATAATCGGGTAAAAGGATTAGAGAAAGGGGGGCGGGCGCGGTAGGGGAGGATAACATTTGGATCGTTAGTCGTTCGAGTGCACCGCGTAGGATCTTTCTTTAAATTCACCGGAAGGACACGCGTCCCCGTGCCGGATGAAGATACCGTTTAACGAGGCAGTAGTAAATAATTTTGAGGACCGAGAACCATGCGGTATACTGATAACGACGGTAGTCTGTGATAGTGATAACGAATTTTTTTTTCCCCGAGTTCATACCGGGGGCTGTGATAGACTCGGGAGCACCGGTCCTATCTGGTATGCAGGTACGAGGCGTGTCTTGAGAATTTCACGACCCAAAGACGGTTCAAAGGGGTAGTCATATTTAACAGGGATATTCTAATGGTGTTACGTGTCCTGGAAGTATAATAATAATATCGGTAATAATATACAGTAGATTCGTCGTAATTTGATACCAGAAATCGTGTATGGTATCGGTATAAGTGTAATACGGTATATCGTTGTATTAGACAAAGGTGTTAAAAAAAAAATAACGTGGCGGGTTAAACGTCCATCTCGAGTACAGTGTGTAATATATATATTGTTCTACTTGAAGATCATCAGCCGTCCGGAGGTTCGTTCGGCGATCATCCGCAAGGATAAATATTGGAGTCGACGGGAGAGTCGGAGTAAGGAAAAGGAAAAAAAAAAGAAAAAATAGAAAATAGTAGCGCCTCGACGATCCCAACGAAGAAGACGAGCCAGTCTAGTTTTGGGTATTGATCGGGTCAGCCGTCGGCCATATTCGTTCCCGCGCTCTCTTAGCGCAAGAGAGCGTGCGGAAGCGGCGCTTTCCTGAACGCAGGAAGAAGGCAGCAGGCTGGGAGGTCGGCTGAGCGAAGTGGTGGGTCCCGTCGTGGAGGAGGCCATAGAGCCAGGGGATGCGACCTCGCTGACGGGACCCTCACGGGAGACGTCCGTACCGCGAGCGCCTCCGCCACCTCCGCGAATAACATCTCCGAGCCCAGCCCGACCGCCACCTCCACCACCTCCGCCGCAAGTCACGGTCCAGCCTCCCGTACCGGTTCTGACCCAGACCGGGACCCAGACTCAATCAGCCCAGCAGACCGAGTCCACGCGCAACCCAAACATGGGTACCGTCCTGTCGTTCAGTCCCAGGGACCGACGGGGTTCCGTCTATCCTCCGACCAGTCATCAACATCCGGCAGACTTCACCCTGAACAACTTCAACTACGAGCAGTTGAACAACGCCAAGAACAGGGAGAACAAGAGCGTCGCCTCCGTTGCGCCTGCGCCGACGAAACAGCCCAACAACAATTCCTTGCAGAACAACAACATAAACCTGAACAACGACAACGCGCGCATTATATCCGAGAAGAATGCACTCGAGAAGAATCTCAAGAAACACTCGCTCTTCATCAATGCACTATCATGGAAGCGGTTTAGCACTACCAACAACAATAAGAAGAAGCTCGACAACAGGAACAAGAACAACACCTTCAGACAGCCTCTTGACAACATTCCCATCGTCGACAAGAACAAGAATATACAGACGCCGCAGGTCAGTTTGAGTATTAAAAATATTTTTTCAAAATTTTTTATCAGCAAAATATTTCCTTACCCCCACCTTTTCTCATGCCTTTTACCTATTTCAACCCAGACAAAGCCACCGGCATCGAACAACAATCACACGTCGCACAATCACACGTGCGACAAACTGGTGCAGAAGCCTCTACCCCCAGGACCGAGGAAAACCGTAATCCAGGCGTCCACCTCAGAATTGCTCAAGTGCCTCGGCGTTTATCTTCACGGGAAGTGCACGCGGTTGCGTGATTTCCAAGCGGGCGACGCGGTGATGTGGCTCAGGACCGTCGACAGGAGTCTCCTCCTCCAGGGCTGGCAGGTGAGTCCAAAATATCCGCCTCAAATACCCATTTATAAAATATACGTAATTCTATTGTTTCTCCCTTTATTATTTTCACTGGAAGGTAATATCAGACGCGCATGCGCCTTTCGATCCGCTACCATGCCATTCACCGTTGGCTGGCTCGACTTCGGGGATTCCCCCGTCTTTAGGTCTGGTTCGTCTTATCCCTAGGGACTCGCAACATGGCGGGAATAATGCACGGCCACTGGCAATATGTCATACTGGGTATTAGCGGAAGGGTCGAACAACCCGTGACTCTAGTCATGCTTTCTCCATATGGTGCGTGGTGGCAATGATTGAACAATTAGAAAGACGAATGACCTAATACACACGGACGCGAGAAAGATTCACTTAGAGTGTACACAATGGATGACGATATATTATCCAAAGCATACAAAGCCCGTAGACTTTCGTTGACTCGTCTTAAAATAGCCCAGTACCCTAATTAGAGACAATTGATGTCACGTAATACCAGTCTGCATGCACAAGTTCGAATCTCGGCAGGGAGTAACGATATAAATTACAGAGTCAAAATGGCCGAAGACCCGTTCACTGATTTTCTTAAAATAATATCAATTTACGTAAAGACTCGACTTGAATTACTTGCCATACAAAAATTAATCTTACGCGTCTATACTTTACCTCCTCGAAATATTTATATTCCCCAATTACAATTAACACTGATATATTTCACCACGTACGTTTTCGTGGCGTAATACAAATGGCGTCTCACGAGTCTTGATTCTTGCGTGGGTACCGAGACAGCCAGTCGATAAAATGTCTCTCGCTTCGTTCGCTCCATACGTATATCTACGTATATGCTACACATAGCATATTCGGTATATATACAATTTAGGGGGTGTGCATATATACATATATTCGTTCCACCCTCTAAATCGTCTGAGGGAAGGAGAAATTTTTTTTTTTTTTTTTAAATATTAATTAGCCCTTCGCGCTCAAGGCGTATCATTTTCGTAATTGATTTTGCGGTTTGGACCGTCCACCGCGACCCCCGCAAAGAATGAAGGCGTCGCCTGAATATTGAGCGGCGGCACCACGCGCACCCCTAATTGCACGTACATAGAGTGCAGTAAGTATACATAAACGTATAGTTCATTATAGCGTCGCGTGTACCTTCGAAAAGATTTCACCCTTTAAAGACTCCGGTGCCCCTTTTAAGCGATCCCATGCGACACCCCTGCGTCTTGGCTAGCCTGTGAAATTTTTTGTTGTCGGTGAAAAATAACAGACTCGTCCACCCTCTTCGCGGTTATTACGTCATATTTTTCAGCGAGTCCTCGCCTCACCGATTTATACGTAGGGAAGGGTGGAAAAGGAATTTCTTTTTTCTTCGGGAAGAATCTTCAATGATTTCATATGCGTCAGGGACGGCTTCTCAGCGCGTAGGGCCCTAGGCTAGACTAATCTTGAGAACCCCCGAAGTTTCTAAGGGATGCGTCGCTATGTACCAGAAGGGCCGAAAAGGGTGCTGCCAGGTTTTGAGGGATGGTCACGTGTAAGAACGGCAACGTCGCATAGCTCCCCCCCCTCTCCTCCTCCTCCTCCTCCTCCCTTCCTTGGGGACGTGTGGAAAAATGCTGGGGCCACTCACCCCCTTAGTGATGCTGGCGTATTTTAATTGGCTAAGGGATGGATAAGCGCCCTCTACGCAAGGGATGACGCTAAGGGTGGATTCCCTTAGAGAAATGGTCGAACGAGATCTGTCGGTAAAAAAATTCATATATATGTATATGTATACCAAGGGTTGTTTCATCCCCTGTTAAAGCCATGAGAAATGGTAAGGGCGTCCGTTGCTATAGTCGCTATACATCTATCCGATATAGGAACGTAGACAAGTATGTTCGGTATTATTAGAACACACTATAGAAAGCCTTACTATTATCTACCTGTAACTATATATATATACATGTATGCAATATGGATCTATTAAGACTAAACCCAATCAATTTCATGTACGATTCGTTGCGTCGCGACGCTCTCTTAGAAAGCGACGCTTCGATCACGCGTCGCGACGGAAACGCAGCGCCGAGCTTTTCGACGACAAAGGGAAAAAGAATATAATACGGTCGAGACACCCTCCTTCACCGAACAGCTGACTTATTCGTAACTCAAATAACAGTGCTGCCAAGACAACAATCAAACTTTCGTCCTACTTAGTTTCCACGTCGTTGGATCCGTCGATATTGATCCATCCAGAAGTCCTTATATCCAGCCGGTTATTGGACTGGAAGTTATGCGAGTAACGATACGATTTATGACGAAAAACAAAAGCGTAAGGGTATACAGGGTGACGTGTCTGTTACTTTTGACATTTCAAAAAAAAAAAAAAAAAAAACTTTGACCTCTTTCGCAACTTCCACCTGGCCGATTATTGTTACATATACGTATATCCGATATGTCACTAATAATTTTTAACCTGTTTGGTATGCAGAATTAATATGCTAAATTGAATGACAGTCGAAATACTTGCTTCGCAATTCGATCCAATTGTTTTATCGATAATTCACCATGTCTTTTATATTTAGCTTCGCTTGACTTATACCGTACGGTATACCTGTATCTATGGTCAGGCTCTTTATTCGCAGTACGTGTGAATCTTGAGACAACATAACGTGTCTCAGAGTCATTACGGTATCACGCATGATGCGAGCACATGTCGAGCGCGATCATCTTTTTCGTCTAGACGTGAAAACAGCCGACGGGCTACGACCCCGGCGTACAATCTAATTAAGAGAGAACCCCTACAGGTTTACCCATGGCTACGAATTCTCTCGAATCTCCCGAACACGTGTTTACGATGGTTTTTCCTGGTCGGTCGCAGAAGCCAAAAGAAAGACGTAATATTCTACGTATAGACGTTATGTACGCGAAGCTAGATTTGCGGTTCTAATCGAATAACCGTAAACGTACCCGACGTATACCTGTATCCTGGAAATAGGCTAATTCCAGCCAATTTCGAATTACCCGACAATCTATTGGATAAACGTACCAACCCGACGCAACGCAGGTTGGCAGCTATGCCAGAGATATATGGAAGAATTTTTTCAAAAGATCCAGCGGACACTTGAAAATTAATTTTTCAAGCCCACAACGTACATCGGGTATGAAATCGAAATATTTAGGGGTAGTTGCGGGTATCCGAGAATTTCTTATCGGTAGACTAATTGCAGTTACCGATATGCCTGGAAGATGCTTCGGTCTCGGTAAACTCGATTGAAACGTTAACGACGATAGAACGACTCGACCAGCCTCGCTCGAGCAGGGCAGGGCAGGGCGCTCACCCCTGCGAATATCGACCGCCCCACCGACGTCCCAACCCCACGTTTATCCACCTCGCGACGTCCAGTAGGCGTTAGACCTGAAAAGAAAAAAAAACCTTGCGATATTTTTCTCAGCGTTTAGCTACGCTCGGTACGTTTGTTACCCCTCGAATAAAATCTACCCCTAGCTAGAAGTAGAATTTTTTATTTTTTATCATTGCCCGTTCTCCCTGCTTTAGCGCTTAACGATAAGTTTAGAATTTTTTTTTTTTCGAATCCACCCCTACGGTCCCAATCACCCCTGTTAACGTACCAGCAACGCAGATCGCTGTCGCATAAGCCACTTCTCTCCTTTTTCTGTTGCTTGGGATTTTTTTTTTTTTTCTTCCACGTTACTTTGAAAATCAGCCGCACGTTCACGCATTACGGGGCGCTGATAATCAAAGGAAACTAGGTGTTGCCTGTCACGTGTGACAAAGTGCAGCGTGGCGCAATATCGATGCGCCTATCGGAGATCCCAAGCTGAGGGTGGCTGCGGGTTAGGTTGTTAAGGATGGTAGTGGAGGTAGGGTCTATGTGGTTTACGAAGGTATCGGCTGCCAGGGTAACCAGGGCCGTCGCTGTAAGGCAGCCAGAGAACCAGGTGCCCGGCAGCAGGTTGCTGGTTTCAGTGAAGATATAATGTATCGAGGGCATCGATCCTCCCGGGTCACTGCGGGGCCTCACGGTAATGCACCTACACTGGTGCGTTAGTTACCTGCCTCGTGCAACCCCCAGCCAGCCGATGCACTTTGTTCTAGCATCTAGCTGGATCGGAGTTTATGCATCGGCGATAGATGTATATTTATGTGTAATATACTTACGGGTATATTACGTATACGTGTACATGGGTACAACGTCCTGATTTTATAAGAAGTCCGAAGGACTCGGTTTCTGGAGCAGGACCAACTGGTCCTCTGTGGGGGCGTAATGATTTTTTTATTATTATCGAACACCTTATTGGGGCCATTAATGGGGGCTATTTATTGTTTTATTTACACTGTGGTGGCTGGTTTATTTACGTGTACTGGCTTTGCAAGTCGTTTCGGTATCGCCAGGAAACGGGTTGGACTTTGGGAAAATGACGTATCGATTTGACGAACGTCCAGAGGGGATTGATTTCAATTTACGAAGGTGTCGCGTAAGATGATACTGCTGGTGAATCATTGCGTCCTGATTTCAGGTTATTGCTGTGACTTATGGAATTATGATGATTTGTTAAAACGATGAACTTTTGTATGTTTTTTTTTTTTTTGGAGGTCTATCTTGTCCTTTTTTTCTATGATGGATGATATAACTTTGTTGCAGGATGTCGCATTTATAAATCCGGCCAACGTGGTGTTCGTGTACATGCTGGTGAGAGAGCTTGTCGACGGGGACGAAGTGTCGGAGAGAGAACTCCAGGCGACGGTCCTGACGTGCCTGTACCTGAGCTACAGCTACATGGGCAACGAGATCAGTTATCCCCTTAAGCCGTTCCTGGTGGAAGATAACAAGGATAAATTTTGGGATCGATGTCTCCTCGTCGTAAATCGGCTGAGCTCCAAGATGCTGCGCATCAACAGCGAGCCAGGATTCTTCACGGAGATCTTCACCGAGTTGAAGGTACGTGGTCGTGGATGATATTTTGTATGAGGTAGGTGGATTAGAGTATGAATTTGATGATGACCTGGCGCTGATAACAGGCTTGCGGAACCGGCGAACGTGGGAGCCTATCTGGAAGTGGACTGGACCGGAGCCTCGTCGTCTCCGGAGTCGCGGTTCCCACCAAGGCAGCTTGACGGAGCTACACACACCTGCTGGTGCGCATCGCCAGGCACGGCTGCGAGCTCACGACCCTCTGACGACCGGGTGACCGAGGAGCGGCATTCGCAGCCTGACCCGTCTGCGTCGACTTCGACCTCGGTGACCCAGGACGCCCAGGACGACGAGACGCATAGAGTCTGTTCTTGCGGCGCTCGTCGACCTGTGGCGTCCTACACGATCGAGGACCTGGATGCGATCGAACCGGTTTCTGCGGCAGAGAAATTATTACGTAGATGCAGCTGCGAGCAACCTGGAGCCGGAAGGCAAGTAGCTGATCTGCGAAAGCATCGTAGCATCGACACCAGGTGGCCCGGGAGCTTCCTTTCACCGGACGACGCGATTTGGGACCTACGCAAGCACGCCAGTGAGGATACCGAGTACCGTTGGGCCTTACACACATCTAGGACGGACGTTGACTTAGCTAGAAGCGCCAAGAGCAAGTGCAGCTGTCACAGCTTGACTCCCGAGGAGAAGAGACCTGAACGGGGTGATCTTAGGAAGCATCACAGTGCTGAGACAGACAAGTGGAGCTTGCGACCCGATGACAATTCGCATGATCTCAGAAAGCACAATAGTGATGACGCGCGTATGGGGCGCGAGGCCAGGTGGACACTTCAGGTACCCGACGCTCTACCTAATCCGAAGCCTCGGTGCGGCTGTCCCAAGAAGAAGTCATCGCTGGTGGATGATGACGCGAGGATGGTGACAAAGGAGCCTGAACGGAAGATCGTCCACTCCAGGTCGCTGAACGTGGAGGAGAGTAAAGGTATACCCGTGGAAAGGCACGGGTTGAAGAAACACGCGAGCGAAGATCCAAAGTGGGAGAAGGAGAAGAAGAGCAGCCGAGAGGCGTCGAGCAAGAATCGAGAAAAGGAGCAGATAAGGAGTCCGGTTAACGATCGTAAGGTTGCCAGGTCAAAGTGGGCGGTAAAGACGCATTTCTCTTTACCGGCGGAGAAGAAGGAAGCCCGATGGCCAAAGGATCAAGCACCCTCGTACGAGCCCAAGAGTAGGAGCCTCAAAGAGCGTTATAAGTCGTCGACGAGGCAGAAGAGTCTATCCCCGGAACCGGAAGGCACCAATCTCCTTCTGAAGCCCAACGACAAGATAGTAAAGCGTCTGATCTCGCCCGAGATAACGATAACGGACGCCAAGTGGGCCCCTTATCAAGGTCACTCACCACTGCCAAACGTCGGTATAAAGAAGCGCGAGCAGAAGCGCATCAGTGAGATCAAATGGACCCCCTACGACGACTCACCGACAATGGACACACTCCATCCTGATGATCAACCGGATACGCAGACCTGGTCGCCGTTTCGCCATGTGACACCAACGAGCTTCCCACCGCCGAAACCGACGCCGTGTCGCGAGGAAGAGGTCGAGGACGAGTCCGAAGAGACCCGCTGGAGGCTGCTGAACATGATCTCACCGTTTCCAATATATCAGGGTGCATGGCGGGACGACACGCCGCCGGAAACGCCCGAAAGACCCGTGGCGAAGTTCATGTCGCAGGACCTCTCGACGCCCGTCTGGTCACCCCAGGAACGTACCCCGATCAAGAGATACTCACCACCCCCGCAACCCGTTAAGAGTCGCAGCATCATCTCAAGGATGCGTAAGGATTCCAGGACCAAGTCGGAGCTCAGGGAATCCGAGGCACCAGCCGAACCTCGTCGACGCGTCATCGCGACCCGCGCCTCCTCGGAGGAGACCCGAGGTCGTCAGCGACCTCAGCTCGTGAGATCCAAGGCACTTCTTGAAGTGCCTGGTATCGATGCTACCAAAAGGTCCCTTAGCGAGGAAGTGCCCCGTCATCGTATCAAAGAGTCACATCGTAAGCCCCATCGGGCCCGTAGCGAGGAGGGTCCCAAATACAGTAAACCTTGGTTCGCCGAAAGTCTCCTCTCGGATGCGAACGAGATGTGCCAGTATGTGACTACCGTGTGAGTAACTGATTAAGGCCCACTTTGGGCCTGATCGGCCGATTTGACTCTCTCGAAGGCCTAGTACCAACGGGTAGGGCTAAAAGTGTACTTCTCTTCGTCCTTCGATATTTAAGGGTGAGTAGACGACGCGAACCTACTGCGAAGCTTGAGGGCTGGTGAGAATTCGATGATCAGTCGTAGGACGCGAACGCCACCGAATCCTGGAGAACTTTATTTAAAATTTTGAAAATAAAAATGGCGTACTTCGCGACGGGACTCTAGCGCGCATGAACGAATCGATACGGAAGCCAGGTAATGACATTGAGTGATAACGATACGATCCGGTCGCGAAAGACAAATTATATACAAGACTTACAGTCGTCGGGTGACGTTCTAGTATACAATATTAGAAAAGGAAAATGAAAAAAACGGTAATGATCGTAGGTTTAACGAGTACCGATTATTATTAATGATAGTAACGATAACATTGATTACGATAATAATAATAATTAAACGAGGAGCTAGACGATAAGTAGCCGTAAATATGAGGACAAAGGAGCGTACTTGAAACGTACTTATACATAAAATATAAATATATATAAAACCGCTCAGAAAACCAAAAAACAATCCAAGTGCATTGAGATAAAAAAAAAGATTGTTGTCCGCGTCCATCTCCGCCGGCGTCTGTTAACGCGAGGGTGATGCGCGTACGACTTTTTTTTTGTTTCATCCAACTCTTTGCCCCGGGGGGAGGGAAGGGGTGGCTTTTCTTTCTTACGGATCCCCTTTGAAAGAGAGACGAACACGATAATGAAATTTGTTATTCCTTTTTAAAAGAGAATCCATAAAGCGATTGATCGACGCGGGACCCGTGGATGCCACGTGTATTATGTTTAGGTACATATTGTATATCGCCCGTGGCCAATTCCGTTCACGAATCTCGCATGTAATTTATTAGTTGGTGGATCGCCGCGCGTATTTGACTATACACGACGGCGATCCCGGTGCCGGCGCGTGCAATATTAATTAGATTAAAGACAGTTTTAATTAGCTACGTAAGTGGTAACTGAGGGTAAGAAGAAAACCATTGATACCGCTGATCGCGATATCACACTTAGATTAAATATATTTATTGTCGGTCATCAGTATTTTTTAGATTGTATACGGTTTACGTTAAGGTGCCAATTTTAAACTTGACGGGTTTTCCCGCGCTTGCGTTTTTCATTGGCGCCCGGCGTACACTAAAGTTACGATGATATTCATTGATTGAACCGACAGCCGCGAGTATCTCGACTCCTTCATTATTCTTTATCTTTTTCTTACTTTTTCGTCTCACTATAGGGCGTCCACTGTGATCACTTACTTTATTTATCATTATTTCCTTTTTTCATCTATTTTTCTTTCTTGTCTTCTCCGTTCGCTCATTTACCTCATTCTCATCAACCCTTTCTCTCATTCTCCCTCACTCGCGGTCATTCTCGAATTACAACTTAGATCGATAAATACATCGAGAAGTAAGACTCCGCCATTTTGTCGTACCGCCGTGGACAGTGGCGGACGTTAATATTACTATAGAGAAATTACTAAACAAATGAAAAATTAGTATTACGTGTCCGTAAATTCTTCTCATCGACTAATGTACAGATGTTGAAAATTCGAAAATTCGTTGCCCCCTGTGCCCGCGCCAATGTAACTGTGAAAAAAGTTACTGTGAAAAAGTAACTGTGAATCATCTACGAATGGCGTATTCATATACAGTGGCGCAGGTAACGAGGGACCGGTTTTTCTTCTCACTCTCTTGAAACTCAACGTCCAAAAAATCCCAGTCTGAAAGTGTAATTTTTTTTTTGAAAATCGCGCGAGCGCGTAATTTTGTCATTCTATTTTTTTTTTTTCATAATTTTTGTTTGTCACTTCAATTCCGTAATCCACTAAGCCTTTATATCATCCCTTATCTATTATCTAGTTTCTAGTCGTTAAGCGAGCGAGTCAGGTGACGCGAATGCATTGCAATTCGTAAACCGATAATAAGTTGATATTAAACGTCGATATGTATACACGCGCGTGATATTCGCGCATTCCCCACGTTCCCATGGAATGTGTATCCGATCTCGTGCGACTCGACTATGTAATTTAACATTCCAATATTAAAGTTGCTCTACGCGTGATAAGAGCAGTCGCTATCATCAATCACGATCGATCTCTATAGTAATAAAATACATTCCCGTAAGCTACATTTATTTATTTGAATACAATTAGAAAACCGCCATATTCTTCACTTGAATGTACATTATATATATTTTTTTTCTGCAACGCGTCTTCGATTTTATTGACGCTATTATCGTTAACTATCATTAATCTCAACGGCACGAATATGCATCTCATGTTATTATTATTAACGATAATAACAATTATTATTAGAATAATAATTATTATTATCTATTCTCAAACACTTGTCGTATCGAGATTGGACTCATTGTTCCTCGGTCTTAGCAATGGTTTTACCAATGGGATGGAAAGTTTCAGTGATAACGAGGCACGCGGGAAGAAAAAATGCTTAGCGACAAAAGGAAAAGAAATTTAAAAAAAGATTAAGAAATAACATTCCACTGATATCCGTGAATATTTGCGAACGCCACGTCAGGTCTAAGCGTCGTATGACAAAAATTCGCTTTGTTCCACGTATGACGTTTAATCTTTCCGACATTTTTGCGTGATAGCATTGATAAGAGAGTGAGAGAGAGCGAGAGACAGAATGATAGGATGGAAAACGGAGTAAAAAGATGAAAACTAAGCTTTACTCGTAAGTTAGAGAGAGAGAGAAAAAGAGATACTTAAGCAAAATGGGGAAAAACCACAAAAAAATAAAGTGATGCTACAGTACAGTGTATCCGTGCTGCCATTAGCATATAACAAAAATCTCAGCTGAAGCCAAAATAGTTAAAGAAGACACAATCGCATACCCCGACGTTACGTAATATTATTAATAAACGTAATCCCGTGTACACATTATTTGCAGTCCGACGAATTATTTAAGGATTTATCGTACGGCAGTTTGAATTAGCTGAAAACAAAGTTTTACGCATGCGAAATGGATATATGCGTTCTGAATGGACGTGAACGACGATTGACGTGTGTCTCGATAAAAGAAAAAAATAATCCTAGAGGTAAATCGCAGAAGAAAATAATTTAAATAAAACCGAAAAACCTTACGGATAGTTGGATTGTATCTCGATATGTGATGATTTGTTATTGATTATCGTTGATTTGCTTCTTATACGTTATTTAAGACGACGCTTGTTTCTAGAAGTTTTTTATCTTCTAGAATTTTTGTTCATTTAATAAGATGCCCCATTCCCCGTCCGCATTAACCCCTAGTCCTACCCCTGAATCACTTCCTGTTATTCCTATTTATTATTACCATTAATGATTTGTGATCCAAAACTTTAAATGATACGACGTGTTACAGGAAGTATTTAGCCTGTGTAGAGTGATGCATTATCTGTACAACAATACAATATACAACCCGTAATATGAGGTCAATGTTGATTTGTTTAAATAAATGTAAGTTTGAAAATCCATTAACGTATTATTGGTAATAATTGTCCTTGTGATATTTTTTTTCAAATTGTATTTAATTTTGTGTATGCCAATGCGAAATCGACAGTGATCAAACAATGGCCAGTTTGTATTTCACTACTTGCTGTGATTATACATATATGCAAGTGTATCAATAAAGAGAATAACTTCCTTACCGATGTTTTATATCAACAATGAATATGGTAACGTGTCAAAATGGCCGATCTGAACAAGGAGCTGAACGAGTATCTTTTAAGCAACAAAAATGAAAAGCAATTCAAAATTCCGATACCCTCGGTCACGTTACCTAAACCAACTTTGGGGAAATGGTTCGGTGGAAATGGCGAACAGAATAAGGAGGAAGCAGGATGGTTTAAGGAGACTCAAAAAGACTGCTGTCCTAGTATGGTTAGTGTTTTGTGTTTTGTAACCTTAATGAATTTCATAAGAACTTAAGCATGATTGTCAGGACTGATGGTTTTTATGGGAATAGAATAGTCTTTAGTATTTTTTGGGAATGCTGAGTTGATAATTTAATAATTATTATTGTGTTGATTGTTTCAGACAAGACTGCAAAGACTTACAGCATTCGCACTCTGTTTTTTCATGGGTATTCTTTGCTTTTGCTTGTCAGCAATCTACATTCCAGTATTATTGCTAAAAGCAAGGAAATTTGCCCTATTATATTCGCTGGGGAGTTTATTCTTTCTTATGAGGTAACGTAAAAATTTATTAAATTTTTTTTATATTTGTTATTGATAGTAATTTGAAGTTTTGTTCTTCTGATTACAGTTTCTGCTTTTTGTGGGGTCCTATGAATTATCTCAAATCCCTGTTTACAGTCGAACGTAGGTGTTTCACTATGACATACTTCGGGACACTCTTTGGTACGCTCTACTTTGCTTTACACTTGCAGTCTACACCCTTGACAGTGCTTTGTGCTGTTCTACAACTCATTGCCATGCTGTCGTTCTTGGTAAGTCATATTCCTGGAGGTACAACAAGCCTTATGTTTTTTACAAGAATGTTTAAGTCTTCTGTAAGTTCAACGTTGCCTGTGTGATAGTTCTATTGTAAAATTGCTGTATAACAATATACTTCTGATGGCTCCTTGCATCTGATATCAAATTATGTTTATTAAGTTACAATAATTTGATCATCATTAATTGCCTGATTAGACTTACAATGTTACCATTGCAAAGTGCAGTTTTGATGTTCCATTTTATACGTAAAGTTTTTCTTACTTTTGGCAATGGTGAACATTTAATGTGGTTATTCTTATATTAGCTATACATACAACTGAGTTACTGTAATATATAATACATAATAATATTTAATGGTCAAATGTCATAAGTCAAAGAAATTAAAATGTATATATAATGTATCTATTTGTGTATAGAAATACATGTATTTTTCCATCAGTTCCATTCCTAGAACAACCTTAATCTATTAAACGGGGATTCATGTTTCATGTCATTTTTTCTTTAATTTCAAAGTCTTGGTGGCTTTTCTACGATTACTATTTCCTCTCAGACGTTTTACTTTGAGAGGGATATATTTTATGTTTTTATCACTAGTGTCTGCTTTATTTCTTTTGGGATCATCATTTGGTTCTTCCATCGATGTCTCATTATTTCCCAATACACCAATTTTTGATTTATATAAAATGTTACTATTATCGTCATTGTTACTTACTTTGGGCTGTGACTCGAATGATATAAAATCGCCTAAATCCATTGGAGCAGATTTCGATACTGTAGGAGAATTTTCATTTTTTTCATGAATGTCCATGTATCTTTTATTCTTCCTCATCTTTCCTTTGTTGTCAACCTTCATGGTAGTATCCACACTTTGGTCTACAGCTATAAAGTCAGTCCATACTTTGCCTGGTGTTTGAATTTCCATGGCATTTTCTGGTATAAATACCCTTTCGTTTCTTGATGTTCTGTACTTGTAAACATTGGTAGACACTGTAAACAGCTTAATACTTTTGTCTGTGTCTGTACTATGGTCAGTTTCTACACATGAATTATTGTGTAACAATTCTTTATTTTGGGATTCAGTGTCCTCCTGTAATAACTTCACAGCCTTATCTGGCACTGGATAATTTGCAGCCAAATCCACTATCTTTTTAAATAATTCATGAAAATAATTTGCTTCATCTTTGGCTACATTATTCTGAAGAAAATTCATAATTATGTAGTATGCTAATACAGTGAATTAAATAAACTTATGATAATACTATACTACACTATGTTACCTTAAATGCAATTGCTGCAGTAGCAAAATTCATAGTTTCGACAGTGACTGACTTTAGAAAAGGTATTAAAAGTACAGGAACATTCCTTTTTAGTGCCATATTAACTATATGCTTGATCAATAGTACTGGTTCCACGTTTGCGTCAAGCAATACACAGCATACTGCATTCTTTTCCAATGAGCGGGTAACTGCATTAACACCTATCACCGTACTGTTACTGAATTAACATTATTATACATTATATTACATTTTAATTCCATATCAGGTGTATGAAAATAATAAGAAATTTTATGTACATTATTTTTTGATCAGCCAGAGTGGATACCTCAGTTTTGGCAGCTTCTTTAGCTACTAAACGTTCTTCTTTTGTCATCTTTTTTAATTTTGCCCAAGATATATTTACTGGATTCCTTTTTAATACTACCAATAATCTGTAACACATTATGTTCAGTTGAGAAACCTCTCAGGAAGAAATTTAATTTATCAGCTTACCTCTTCAATAGATTTTTCAAAGAAGCATCCTTATCATCTTCTAAAACTGGCCTAAGAATTAAAGTGAGTACGAATTTATTTTGAATACTAATATGTCGATAAGATACTATTTTATTTATACAACTTCTAAAATGTAACTTAAAACTCGATTACAATTTAATTCAAAAGATAACTGTACATTGTAAATCATTATATACAATTGTAATACAATGCCGCATCTTTTATATGTGTATTTTCAATTGTATGCAAAGTTTAGGTTAAGTCAGGATTGAGTTACCAATAATTATCAAAGGGTTGTACTAAAACATTTCGCAGTCCTTTGGTTGGTCCTTTCTTTGATGACAAAGATTTTTTTTGCTGTTTTTTTGACATAACTGGTATACTAAGATTTTGTACTCTATATAACCATTTGTAACCCCCAGCAATACATTAGTTATACAAGCCACAATGATATATAGGAAATAAGAAACAGCAACGTAGTTCAGACGCTTGCCACTTCATATTGCACTGTATAGCAGTATACCTACTGCAGAGATGAGTAAGGAGATGCACAACGCTACAATTTTACGCGGTATCAAAATCATGGCGCTAAATAGCAGCGGGGAGTCTGGAAGTAGGATTTTATGATTATCGCCTCCGTCGACAATGCGAATCCCGTCGTACCCAAGCTAAACGTGAACACCAACGACTACCTTGGCGGGCAGAGGTTCTCCGCTACCTCATTGCTGGCTCCAAAGTAATCCTTAGAACGAGACTGGAAACTATAGCACTTCTCAAGAATTATTGAAAAAACTTATTGGTGAAACATTTCAAAGATATTTTTAAGAAAGTGCAGTGCCAACGTGACACCCGTGTAGTATATACTATTGGGTCTTAATTTACTTTCAAAATTTATTAAAAATTTAAAATTGAGGCTAAATCAAAATCTCGCAGAATATACAGAGTAGATAAAAATTGAATTGAAATTGTAGATTGTTGAAAATAAATTACGTTCAAATTGAAATATTAATCAATTAGGTGTTAGGAACATTAAAATAACTAATTAAATCAATAAAGTAAAATATTATCACTTAGAAATCGGAAACTCTGGCCAAGCATATTTAGAAGTACTGGAAGATGGCCAAAATTGTGTGCACGCAAATTCGTCGCGCAGGACTCGGCGAGTGGGAGCAGGCGGATGGTGGGGGCGCTCGAGGCAGTGCCCGGACTCCGAGCGCTCATTCTTCCTCGAGCCGGTCTCCTATACTGGTCTCTTGGAATCATTTCGAGCCTTCCTTTATTTTTATATTTATTTCTTCTTTACTTCCTTATTTCTTTATCTTCCATTCTTCACTTTCTTATCTATCTCTTTCCCCATTTCTTCTCCACTTTTATAACTCTATTCCTTACTTTTCTACTTCATCACTTTTTTATTTCTATCTTCATTTCTTCCTTCTCGTTTCGCTTTGTTCCCTCTCACTTTCCATTGTGTTTGTCTTACTTTTCCTATTCCTTTGGTCGGGTCGAGCATATTAATTCAAGTAGTCATATAAGAGTAGTCATCCGGTTAGTGCAGCTAGACTTAAGACCATGGTGCCGGGGGTTGCCCTTCCGCCTCTTCCGCTGAGCTTGCTCAGTGGTTGGTGGCCCAAGTTGTGGCCGCAACAGGACCTTATGGGTCTCCCGACGGGGGCCTTGAGCCCCCTTAGGGTATCTACGGCCATGGTCTTTCGTATAGTGAATCTAACCAGGTGTCTAGCTCTCGCGTATTTAGTATAACTTGTTCGCTTTGCTAAAAACGCTCCAACATGTCTTGACCCTTGGGCACTTGTGTGGGTAGAGACGATCCTATTTGTCCGTGGGGAGGTCGGAGGGGTAGTCCGTTGACTTTGGGTAAAGTCCTATTTGTGCTTGTGCTTGGGGGTCACTTCACTTGGGGTAGGTGCGGGTGCTATTGAGCACCCGCTAGTATAAAGTCACCCTCTGTCGGAGACATTTTGCGCGTGGATCGATGGCTAACGGGGCCCGCCGCCGGCGGCGGGCGTGGTTCCTTACGTCTAACCCACTGGGCTCGCCCGTGGGAAGGGACGGAGGTTGTAGCGTTAAATATCGTCCTTCGGGATGTCCCGGCGTGCCCGCAAGGGTACCGCTGGGTGCTACGCCCGCGGTCTTTCGTTGCGGTGAATCTTGACTAAGGGTAGACCTTTCGCGTTTAACTTCTCCCTTTCGCGTTTAACTTATCTTAGCTTTTTCGCGTTAACTTATCTTAGCTTTTTCGCGTTTAACTTAACCTTACCCCCTTGTGCGTTTTTCTTGTCCCTCGACCCGACTTCCTTCCCTTCCTGAGGTTTTTCCCCCCTAGTCCTGTGCGCGAAAGCCGCAGGACTCGGGGGTTTTCCTCAAAAAAAAAACAAAAAAACATGGTCCCCTATGGGGCCTCGGAGGGGTCGTAGCTCCCTTCAAGAGAGGCAGGACCTCACGGAAATGGGCG